ATGCCCCAGGCGCTATAAATAGGCATAGTGTTCTGGAAGCCTAGCTGCTGTCTATTGTATATGTTTTAACAAAATTATTGCGCTATTTTGTATTTACCTAACTGTTGCACATATGTTTTAATCATCAACAAGTTAAGTACCGTCTATAATATACACTACGCTGATTAAACGTTTTTTTTTTCATTAAAAAAATGCATATTTACAGAGCTGGTGTTGTGTTAGTGGAAGAAAATTAATATTTTTTTTTATTTATATATTATACTGATGTGTGTGCGAGGTCAGGAGGAGAACAGCATCCCAGACACAAGAGTCTGGTTGAACCAGTACTGACCCTGCCTTCTGTGGGCAAAGAGAAAGTTGATAAATTAGACATATATGCGACACTTGTCTATTTTTATTGAGGAAACGTTTCGCCACGCAGTGGTTCATCAGTCCTACACAAAGAATGGTGAACATCAGAAGGGGTTTGAAGTAATCAGTCCCTCAGACTTCTTCTGATATTCTCCATTCTTTGTGTAGGACTGATGAAGCCACTGCTTGGTGAAACGTTTCCTCAAGATACTCAAGTGTTGCACTTGTATCTGATTTATCAACTTGTCGGTTCCCTGAGCCATTGATCTACAAAGAGAGACCTGATGCAGTCAAACTGACAAGGTGTGTCTCCAAGGTTGAAAGGTTTGTGTGCTCCTCATACCCCTCCTCTGTGTAATGTCTTGTCACCTATGCCGACTATAATATCCTAACTGGCTCTCAACCGATGCGTCAACTGCGATATATCTTCCTGTAGTATCATCTCGTCAAGTATTTCCGACTCTTCCTCTTCCGTCTATTTCACCTCTTTCTTAAATAGTGGTGAATGACCCTCACGGATTGGATTGCGTTAAATGAATGCAGTAATGTCCACTATTATCCCCGCTATTTTCATGTTGCAAGAGAGGGTGCATCAGCACCTGCCTCGTGGGTTGATGGTTACCATCTTCAACATCCACTCATTCTCAGTATTTGGATTTTGGGTCATGTTACAACATTATTTAATAAGACATGTAATGTGACATTCAGATGCAGGCATAGCATGATCCCTGTGCATGCGCATGTATGTCAGTTTTCAGCCATTTGCCTATGTATACAAGATATAAAAATATTATACCGTATATGAGGCAGGAAGGCAGTGGCTGTCTTGTCCAGGTGTCAAGGTTAGGTAAAGTTTGTCAGGAAACAGGACAATTGTTTCTTGACGTGGGTTTTAGTCACATGATGACCCGCAGCTGGAGCTTTTGGTCATCTGACCGAGGCCTTCCACTGACTTACCGGTCCACCCCTTTAAAAATTAAGATCATAATTATAACCATTCTGTCCAGGTGTCAATGGTATTTGTGGGTGTGTTTATATTTTTCAATGTTTAAGTCTGAAGTTGTCTGTGTATTTATGTGCACGTAAGTATGTGCGTATGTATGTGCGTATGTATGTAACGCTTCATGGGAGACACAGACCTGATTTTCTTCAGATAATTATTGCACTGCATAATTATCTGTTTCTATGACACTTGAGTTACCATTATTCTTATTTCTCCCAGAACACTATCACAGCAATGCAAGATTTGAAACAACAATAAAAAATAAAAATAAAAAAAAAGGTGAAAGAAATCCTGTAAGATAAGGGAGAGTGTTTTTATTTCAAGGTGAACCAGGTAGTTACTGACCAATAACAACTTTAGCAATAGGCCAGGTGAAAGGTGACATCAATTGCCGAGATGTATGTGAGAGTAGTGCTAGGATGTTTCTTTTGGAAACATTTCGCTCAGTGGGAACGAAACGATTCCTCGATGAGTGTCCCAGTAATGGTGCACGAGTGTTATTTAATAAACAAATAAATGAAATCCAAAACAAAACAGATGGATAAAAAATAAGGTCCCTGGATAAGGTGGTTCGTCTCATGGAGTACGACTCCTCGGTAATATTCCTGAGCCAACACAGATTTTGGTATTGAGTTTTCGACAAATATTTCGAAAAAATTCTAAAATTACGACTGTTGTAAATGAAGAGTTACTGTACGTTTGAGCGTAAACAAGATTATTGACCCACAAGTCTCTACCTTGGGTGTCCCGTAGCTCGGTTGGTAGCGCACTCAGCTCACACACTGAGGTCAGTGGTTAGATCCCCGGTGCGGGTGGAAATATTAGGACGTGTTTCCTTAAGACACCTGCTCTCCTTGTTTACCAAACAGTAAATAGGTACCTGGGTGTTAGTCGACTGGTGTGGGTCGCATCCTGGGGACAATGTTCTTCATAACAAGGGACTTTCTGTATATGTCACTAATGTCAGCTATGGTCTATATAAGTTGTATCATGTACTTGTAGAAGTCAAAAGTATTACTATTATTATTATTATTATTACTATCAATGAGAGCTAACAAAGAACACACTTAATATTAATTAGTGTTTTACTAGTATTGTAATAATTCTCAACACTGATTTCGAAATTATAACCGAGAGAACATATAAGAGAAAATTGGTATTATGTTATGCATCTTTAGTGTTCATAACTAAATATATTCCGAGGGAAAATTTTTATCGTTTTTTTTTTTCTGAACAAAAAAGGCAGTGTATAACTATTACATCAGATAAGCTAAAAAAAAAAGAAAAAAATATAAATTTCAACACGAAAGAATGCCTAAAATTCTTAATGTTATTTACCTGAGATAATGTTAGTAATGTTAGTAAATAAAGTTAATGAACAATGCTGTGAATATTGGCTTATAATACAGTAGTATTTACTGCTATATCATATATACGATGTATATATAGGATATACTGTGCTAAACAAACTGTTATTAGAATGTTCTTCACTACTATATCAAGAATCAACGTACTTCTTGTTATTTCCCATTTCCATAGTTTTGGTCTGATCATCTATTGTTATTGTTGTTGTTGTCAGTAACCGCCTCATTCTGTATACAATCACTTACTGTTAAATATGCAAATATCGCGAATAAGCAATACAAGGTGCAAAACACCCACGGGGGAATTGAATCATAGCTCTAGGCCTTTCGTGTTGCAATCAACACATCATCAGGAGCTTGCCATGGTGGAGAAATGAGTAGGAAGTTCAGGCAGATGCGTTCAAGGGAGCGACTCGAGCTAACTTGAATGCATCTGCCTAAACTTCCTACTCATTTCTGCAACATGGCAAGCTCCTGATGATGTATTGATTGCAACCCGAAAGGCCCAGAGCTATAATTCAACTCCACCCGTGGGTGTTTTGCATTTTGCTGTTAAGGTTCCAGTTGACATCTTCATAACGCTCGTTTACATTTTCAACATTCATTCTCGAAATCTTTCAATGCTGTGATTACATATTAAAAAAAATCCTAGTGATGATAATTTTTTTTACGGAAACAGATAATTATAATGCAATAAATATTTTTTTAAAGAGAATATCGAGTCTATTATCTACGCGGATGTATACTTCACTTCAAGTATTCATTCAGCGCGTACATGCGTGTGTGTGAAAGTATTTGTGTGTATGGATATACGTACGTATTTGCAATTCCAATATTTGTCCACTGGGACTTGAGCAAATGTAAACACTGGGTGACATAGTTCACACTAGAGAAGTGTTTGTGAGGGATGGTAGTAGTGGCGGGTATGACCCTCATGACAACACCTAGCCAGGGACGTCACTCATGACAACACCTAGCCAGGGACGACACTCATGACAGCACCTAGCCAGGGACGTCACTCATGACAACACCTAGCCAGGGACGACACTCATGACAACACCTAGCCAGGGACGTCACTCATGACAACACCTAGCCAGAGACGACACTCATGACAACACCTAGCCAGGGATGACACCAATAACAACACCTAGCCAGAGAAGAACCTCGTGACAAAACCTAGCCAGGTACGACACTCATGACAACACTTAGCCAGGTACGACGCTCATGACAACACCTAGCCAGAGATGACACTCATGACAACACCTAGCCAGGGGCGACACCCATGACAACACCTAGCCAGGGACGACACCAATGACAACACCTAGCCAGGGACGACACTTATGACAACACCTAGCCAGGGACGACACCCATGACGACACCTAGCCAGGGACGACACCCATGACAACACCTATCCAGGGACGACACCAATGACAACACCTAACCAGGGGTCACACACAGTCATCATATCACCTAGCCAGGGATCACACACGGTCCTCACATGAATATTGTCTTCTACACGTCCTTATGTTCCCTCTCTACCTCCCCTCAACACTACTTCACGTCATGTTCACTTTCTGTCTCCCTCTCTACCTACTACTTCATCGCCTCATGTTCCATCTATCCCTTCACACTCTCTACATGTACACAGTAGAGCACCAGCGGGAAGAGTTGTGGCATCTAACACACCAACAATGACTCTCATCTCCACTGCATTTCACAAGAATGAGAACTCTTCATCTTCCTCTCCCTTGCAATGAACCAAGTTTTTTTTTTTTTGTCACTAGATTAAGAATCCTGGTATACTGAAGAGATATACCACTTGACACTCTCTGTAAGTGTAGGGCAGTGTGAGTGTAGGACAGTGTGAGTGTAGGACAGTGTGAGTGTAGGACAGTGTGAGTGTAGAACAGTGTGAGTGTAGGACAGTGTGAGTATAGGACAGTGTGAGTGTAGGACAGTGTGAGTGTAGGATCGTATGAGTGTAGGAGCGTGTGAATTTAGGATCATGTGATTGTAGGACTATGTAGGAGTGTAAGAATATAGAACTGTGTATGAGGATGGGGCTGTATGATCTAGCCTGAATGTTAATATGTTCTTGTATATGTTATCAATATTTAAATTAACAGTCGCATCTCATGGTTCAACGGTATGATCGAGGGTATATGTACATGTATGTGTATGGTGCAGTATGAGCAAGTGTATATGTATGTGTATTGTGCAATATGTACGTATGTGTATTGTGCAGTATGTACGTATGTGTATTGTATGTATGTATTGTGCAGTATGTACGTATGTGTATTGTGCAGTATATGTGTACTCACCTAATTGTTGTTGCAGGGGTGTGTGTATGGTGGTTTGAAGTACTAACCAGAGTAGTGTTGTGTGAAAGCTTGTGTTAAACTGTCGTACTTTCAAAATAGCTGCTTGGGTGTGCGTGGGGATGTGTGGGGGTGTGGAGATCGGTGTGGGCAGCGGGCTTGACCCTGCATGACCAGGCAGGGCAACACAAGGGTCCAGGGTCAGCAACAAGCGGCGGTCATAGTTGGGTCTCCAGGTCGTAATGGCAGGAGTGACGAGGGAGCGCCAGGCGAGGGGTGGAGGGAATGTCTCTCTCTGTGTGCGACCTGCGTAGCGGAGAGGGCGACATGGTCCCCAACAGCGGGGCGGACACCCTCAGTGCGTCGTCGTACGTCGGGGGGGCTTCCGTAGGGGTGGTGCGTCGGCGCCCCTGGAAAGGATCGACTGGGAAGCACGGTACGAGCGGCGATGGATGATATAACACGTAGCCGTTGTGTAGCGAGGTTCTGGAGGCCGCCGCGCCTGTCGACGACCCCGGCGCTAGTTCGACCCCACGCTGGCCGACGACGGCGCAGCCGGCAGGCTGCCGCCACCGTTCTGGATGTTCCCGTTGGCGTCGATTGCGGGTGTGAGGATGGCGGTGAGCGTGGCTCCGGCCTCCATCAGTAGAGCTTCGCTGTAGGAGGGAATGAGGGTGCAGTTGTTGGCGATGGTGAGTTCGAGGTCGTGACTATCAGTGGTGGCTGAACCTCGCGAGGCCCGACCTCCGCTCACTGGCGTAGTGTAGTTCACACCGAACAGCTTCGTCACCTGTAGATAAACACCCTATGTAATATACCTGAGAAATGAACACACACACACACACACACCTGGAAAGATGGAAGGTTTAAGGTCTTCACAGCACTGGGATCATCACACTGCACAGCACTGGGATCATCACACTGCACAGCACTGGGATCATCACACTGCACAGCACTGAGATCATCACACTGTACAGCACTGGGATCATCACACTGCACAGCACTGGGATCATCACACTGCACAGCACTGGGATCATCACACTGCACAGCACTGGGATCATCACACTGCACAGCACTGGGATCATCACACTGCACAGCACTGAGATCATCACACTGTACAGCACTGGGATCATCACACTGCACAGCACTGGGATCATCACACTGCACAGCACTGGGATCATCACACTGCACAGCACTGGGATCATCACACTGCACAGCACTGGGATCATCACACTGCACAGCACTGAGATCATCACACTGTACAGCACTGGGATCATCACACTGCACAGCACTGGGATCATCACACTGCACAGCACTGGGATCATCACAGCACAGCACTGAGATCATCACACTGTACAGCACTGGGTCATCACACTGTACAGCACTGGGATCATCACACTGCACAGCACTGGGATCATCACACTGCACAGCACTGGGATCATCACACTGCACAGCACTGTGATCATCACAATGCTCAGTACTGGGCTCAACACTCACAGCTCAGTACCTGCACTCGTACCCTCAAGGTAGCTTTGTTGATGCTTGTGAGAGTGTTTTTGAGCTATGGAATTGAATATGATCTATTCTTTGGGTCTAACCAGACTGATTGTTTTCCACTCCCACAGGAACTGCTTGATCTCCTACTGATTTAGCGCTCCCCTGTGAGAATACAGTACATCCACTAGTATTTCTCTACTCCCAAGTAAGGCTCATCTACAGGAATTAACGTTGAATAAAGCAAAAATATTTGGTCACACATGGTTCAGATATACCACACCTTTTATGGAAAAACCTATGATGTCCCTACAGGAAACCACAAATATGTAATTCTTGAAAAAAAAAAAAAAAAAAAAAACCAACGCTCGCGAGTGGATAATTAAAAACTTGACAGCCGCTGCTTCACAAATTGGAGAGATCTACATATTTTTTTTTTTTTACCGTATAAGAAACACTAAATCCGAGTATGAAATACTGAGTATGTTCACCGGGGGATATATTTCTCTTCTGTTTGTTATTCTGAGAGTAGTTTAAATCCTTATTTCAGAGATTAAAATATCCTCAACTGGTGGTTAACAGATGATATGTAGCTTTAATGACCCAGGTTTAGTCGACAGGTTTTTCATCTAGCAAATTAAACAAATATGTAAGTCATTCAAGCCTATAATTCTAGGGTTTGGGGTAACTGTACACACACCTGGGGTCAGAGTACACTTCTGAGGTCACTGTACACCTCTGGGGTCAGCGTACACTTCTGGGGTCACTGTACACCTGTGGGGTCAGCGTACACCCTTGGAATATTTATTTCAGTTGGTGTCAGCGTACATACCTGGTAGTGAATATAGGCAGTGTTGTACTCAATGACGAGTCTGAGTGGCCAGGAGAGCAAGAGTAGAGAAGCCAACCAGAAGACTGAGTGTCTGTTGTACCAGGGTGGTCTCTTACTGTCGCGACGAGCTATGACGAACTCCTTGAAGTTGACGTTGGTCAAGTCCAGACCCTCCCTCATCTCCATGTAGTCATCCCGACGCTCGTTCTCCTGGTCAGTGGTGGGTGGTGAGGGAGAGTGAGAATGATTGGTCATGAGAGTGGGGGAGTGGGAGAGAATGAGAAGAAAGAGGACGTAAAGTAAGAGATGAGAAATGCAGCTCGCTCTCGCCTCTCGTAAGCAGTGAGCAAATAAAGTCAGACTTTCTCAAATAACCCACAAAAACTCACACATTAAAAGAAACACTACTATGATGGGAAACCCAGACGTAGTTCTGGTATAGTACATGTCTTAGTATGCTTCTCTCCTAGCTACTTTGAATATAGTTCTATCCTAGTATACAATTCTACTCTAGTATATACTAGTTCTATCCTAGTATATAACTGTCCAAATAAGCAATCAATTAATGCTTCTTTTTTTTCTTATCCTAGCTATATCTCGCTGCATTTTTTTATGAAGTACCCCTAAAAATTCTAGTATCTGATCCATCCTTCTCTCTTCCTCCCTTCCTCTAATGTTATTCATCTCTCAGAATGGCAGAAAATTGTACCTGCATCCGGCCAATTAGCTCAGCTGGAGGCTTCAAAGAGCAGAAGCCTCGCCTTCCCGGAATCCTTAAACATGACTGACCAGCGCACACGCGCGCGCACACCACAACACACACACACACACACACACACCACACACACACACACACACACACACACACACACACACACACACACACACACACCACACACACACACACGCACACACACACACACACACACACACATACACACACATACACACTACACACACAACACAACACACACACACATACACACACACACACACACACACGCACACACACACACACACACACACACACACACACACACACACACACACACACACACACACACACACACACACACACACACACGGGCAGACATACACACACACGCATGCACATACAACAGGCCTAGTGTCTAATCGACATGTGCCTAGGACCAATGGTAACTAACACCATTCCCCAGTATGTTAAGGACACTACCAGAGAGAGAGGGGAAGATGAACCAGCAAGACTGGACCTTGTGTTCACCCTTAGTAGCTCAGACATCGAGGACATCACATAAGAAAGGCCCCTTGGAGCTAAGGACCACGTAGTTCTGAGATTTGAATACATCTTAGAGCTACAAGTGGAGAGGGCAACAGGAGTAGAAAGGGAAAAGCCAAACTATAAAAGGATGGGGGGGGGACTACACATGTATGAGGATCTTCCTGCAAGAGGTTCACTGGGAAAGAGAGTTGGTAGGAAAGTCAGTAAACGAAATGATGGACTACATAACAAAATGCAAGGAGGCAGAGGAAAGGTTGTTCTCAAGGGTAACAGATATAATGGGAAGACCAGAATGAGCCTTTGGTTTACCCGAAGGTGTAGGGAGGCAAAAACAAGTGTGCTAGAGAATGGAAAAAGTACAGAAGGCAAAGGACCCAGGAAAATAAAGAGATTAGTCGACGAGCCAGAAACGAGTATGTACAGATAAGAAGGGAGGCCAGCGGCAGTACGAAAACGGTATAGCATCGAAAGCCAAGTCTGAACCGAAACTGCTTTACAGCCAAATCAGGAGGAAGACAACAGTCAAGGACCAGGTAATAAGGTTGAGGAAAGAAGGTGGGGAGCTCACAAGAAACGACCAAGAAGTAAGTGAGGAGCTCAACACGAGATTTCAGGAAGTATTTACAGTGGAGGCAGAAGAGACACTGGAAAGACAAAACAGAGGGGTACACCAGCAAGTGTTGGATGAAATGCACACAACCGAGGAGGAGGTGAAGAAACTTCTAAGTGACCCTGATACCTCAAAGGCGGTGGGACCGGACAACATCTCTCCTTGGGTCCTTAGAGAGGGAGCAGACAGTGTGTGTGCCACTAACCACAATCTTCAACACATCCCTTGAAACTAGGCAACTACCTGAGGTATGGAAGACGGCAAATGTGATCCCCATCTTTAAGAAAGCGGACAGAAACGAAGCACTAAATTATAGTCCAGTGTCACTGACGTGTATAGTATGCAAAATCGTGGAGAAGAATATCAGGAGATTAGTGCAGAAGCTAGAGGATCAGGCACATATAACAGGAAGGGCACTGCAATGGATCATAGAATACCTGACAGGGAGGCAACAACGAGTCAAGGTACATGATGAGGTATCACAGTGGGCGCCTGTGACGAGCGGGGTCCCACAGGGGTCAGTCCTAGCACCAGTGCTATTCTTGGTATATGTGAATGACATGGCGGAAGGGATATACCCAGAAGTGTCCTTATTTGCAGATTGCAGATGATGTGAAGTTAATGAGGAGAATTAAATCAGATGCGGACCAGGCAGGTCTACAAAGAGACCTGGACAAGCTGGACACGTGGCCCAGCAACTGGCTCCTAGAATTTAATCCCGCCAAATGCAAAGTCATGAAGATTGGGGGAAAGGCAAGGAAGACCGCAGACAGAGTATAGGCTAGGCGACCAAAGACTGCAAACCTCACTGAAGGAGAAAGATCTGGGGGTCGACCCCTGCAACCTCAACTAGGTGAGTACAACTAGGTGAGTACACACACACACACACACACACACACAAGAAAGCAGGAGGAGAAAAAAGCGATTGAAGGTATCATGAAGGTGATACGCGAGGGAGACATGACCCAGGTGGCAAATTTTCGGAGAATCGGGTGGTTCACAAAGAGAAGGAAACGGCCTCTCAAAGTAATTCTCAAGGCAGAATCAACTCGAACCATGATCCTGCAGGAGAAAGCACGGCTGAGAGGCAAACAGGAGTTCATGAGTGTGTACCTCGATCGAGACAGAACACAGGAGGAAAGGATGATACTGAAAGAAAGAGTGCAAAAACGAAAGGAGGAATGGGAGGAAATGACAAAGAGCAGAATAACCCAGAATAACCCAAACCAACCATCACACACTGATCCCTCTATTCCCACCCCCCAGCACCACGAACCCTACCCCTACAGCAACCCCCTATGGGAGCTCTTCCTCCACCTCTACTGCAACCCCCAACAGGCCCCCACCAGAGCTCCTGCTCTCCCAACCCCAGTATTCCCCCAGGACCACAGTTACAGTATTAGAACAGAAATTGAAGGTTTGGTACACAAATGCGGATGGATTAACGAATAAATATGAGGAATGGCAAGAAAGAATCGATGAGAAATCCCCAGACATCATAGCAGTTACAGAAACAAAACTCACGGAGACAATAACAGATGCAATCTTCCCACCAGGATACCAGATCATGAGGAAAGATAGAAGGGGCAGAGTGGGAGGAGGGGTTGCTCTGCTCGTAAAAAAAACGATGGAAATTCGAGAAAATGGGAGGCATAGACGAGACAGGAGAAAGGGACTACATAGTAGGTACACTTCAGTCTGGAAGCACAAGGTGGTCATTGCAGTGATGTATAATAAACCACAGAACTGCAGGAGGCCAAGAGAGGAATATGAAGAGAGCAACAGAGCAATGGTGGACACACTGAGGTGGCAAGAAGAGCTCACTCCAGCAGAGCAAAGTTGCTGGTTATGGGGAATTTCAACCACAGGGAGATTGACTGGGAAAATTTGGAGCCACATGGGGGTCCCGAAACATGGAGAGCCAAGATGTTGGATGTGGTGCTGGAAAACCTCATGCACCAACATGTTAAGGACACTACCAGAGTGAGAGGGGGAGGATGAACCAGAAAGATTGGACCTTGTGTTCCCCCTGGGCAGTTCAGACATTGAGGGACAATCACATATGAGAGTCCCCTAGGAGCTAGTGCCCAAACGTGGTTCTGTGCTTTGAATTACATAGTAGAGTTGCAAGTGGGAGGTAACAGGAGTGAATGGAAAACCCAGCTATAAAAGAGGGGACTACATAGGGTGAGGAACTTCCTGCAGGAGGTTCCATGGGACAGAAAACCTGGCAGGAAAGAGAGTAAATAAAATGATGGAATATGTACAACAAAATGCAAAGAGGCAGTGGAAAGGTTTATTCCAAGGGCAACAGAAACAATGGGAAGACCAGAACGAGCCCTGGTTTTTCCCGACGGTGTAAGGAGGCAAAAACAAAGTGCAATAGAGAATGGAAAAAAGTACAGAAGGAAGAGGGTACATGAAAATAGGGAGATCAGTCGCATAGCCAGGAAAAGAGTATGCACAGGTAAGGAGGGAGGCCCAGCGACAGTATGAAAGTAAAAATAGCATCGAGAATCAAAACTGACCCGAAACTGTTGTATAGCCACATAGGAGGAAGACAAAAAGTCAAAGACCAGGTGATCAGACTGAGGATAGAAGGGGGAGAATCACAAGAAATGATCAGGAGGTATGGTGAGGAGCTAACAGGGATTTAAGGAAGTTTTTCAGTAGAGACAGGAAGGGCTGTGGGAAGACAGCACAGAAGGGAACATCAGGAGGGAATATACCAACAAGTGTTGGATGACATACGAACAACGAGGAGGAGGTGCAGAAGCTGCTAATGACCTTGATACCTCAAAGGCGATGGGACCGGAAAACATTTTCCCCTGGGTTCCTTAGAGAAGGAGCAGAGATGCTGGGGCGTGCCCTAAAAGACAATCTTCAAAAACATCCTTGAAATGGGAAACTACCTGAGAAAGGAAGACAGCAAATGTAGTCCCATATTTAAGAAAGGAAACAAAACGAGGCACTAAACTACAGACCTGTGTCTCTGACATGTATTGTATGCAAAGTCATGGAGAAGATTATCAGGAGGAGAGTGGTGGAACACCAGGAACAGAACAAGATTATAAATGAAAACCAGCATGGGTTCATGGAAGGCAAATCCTGTGTCACAAACCTTCTGGAGTTTTATGACAAGGTAACAGAAGTAAGACACGAGAGAGAGGGGTGGGTTGATTGCATTTTCCTAGACTGCAGGAAGGCCTTTGACACAGTTCCTCACAAAAGATTAGTGCAGAAGCTGGAGGATCAGGCGCATATAACAGGGAGGGCACTGCAATGGATCAGGGAATACCTGACAGGGAGGCAACAACGAGTCATGGTACGTGAAGAGGT